CTGCATATAAGGCTGGAAAGATACTTGACAGTATGAATTGACGTACTAAGGTTAACAATATGAACATAATCCTCAATAATGTCCATCAATGATATTCCAAAAAAATGGGACGGAATATCAGACATATTTGTGATTTGTTGACGCAATTCGTGCAAATAAGGTGATTCGTTTATAAAAACACGTGCCGAATCGCGATAGCCATTAGAATGAAGATAACCTTAATTTTTTTAATATTTAGGAATATTTACTACCCAAGATAAGCCTGCATATATCGGAGGGAAGCAGACTAAAGTAAATTTTAGAACACATGTAAAAGATATTTAAAAAGTGCGCAGCAGAACAAGAATTAAACAATTTATTCAATACATTAATTTATTAGATATTTAAAAATAAAGTAAGATTTAAAATTTTTTTTAAATATGTATATTTGGTGAATACTCGTCTTGGTTGAAATGAACCCTCTCGCACTGTTGGTTATAATTACCTACTTGTTCTTCCCCGTCTTTTCCGATAAACCGCGCGTAGAATCCCTCAGAATAGGAGTGACTAGACGTATTCCTGAGGAAGACTGTATGAGAAGGGCCAACGTAGATGACAATTTAGGCATTCATTATACCGGACTCCTGTACCAGACTGGTGTAAAATTCGACTCGAGCCGAGATAGAGGCCAAACACTTGACTTCAAATTAGGTGCTGGCCAACTCATTAAAGGCATGGACCAAGGAATTAGAGGGTAATTTAATTTTCATGCTTCTCACTTGTCGTTAGTTCATAAAAAGCCTCTAGGAATATTGTCTTGTCATTTTAGAATGTGTGTCGGGGAGACCAGGCGCATTACTATTCCTGCTCATCTTGGCTACGGTAAGGAGGGCTCCCCCCCTGTAATACCAGAAGACGCAGATCTTATTTTCGAAGTCGAACTGGTATCTATAAATGACCAAAAGAACGAGCTCTAAATTAATATTTTTTTTGTTTTCGACTTTGTCTTGGATATATTTGCCTACCAAAAGCACGAACCCCTTCTTTATACTCCTGCTAGGGGGATATTACACGGCAAATGTTACGGCGTTACTTGTATGTAACACATCTCGGAAAGCCAGCACTACGTGCATACACGTAGCCTTATATATTTGTGGTCATCCCTAACCACCTGATTTGGAGGTAATAAGGCTTGTTCTCTTCATATCCTGATACCCCTAACCGTTTCGATCAGCAATTACACACGTTTTCCGTTCAATTGTTACGTCTGGTGATGAGTCAGTGTTGTGATATGTAATAGTTACGAATTCGCTATTTCCGCTACTCTGTGGTAAGCAGCATAATACAGGAACTGGTTTGATATACTGGTGGATGTCGCCAATAGTATACTCACTAATTTGGCCTAATATCGAAAAAAATAACTTAAAATTTGCGCAAACAAGTGACAAGATTTATCAGCCAACCAAATGTCACCAAACTAAATCTAGATCACATCTTTTATATAATGAATTAATCAAGTGTAGAATTTCTTCTGCAATTTAACAAGGGATTTGACTACATTTATGACGAAGTGGGTACGCAAATGTGTCCGTCGAGAAAAAGCGGGAGTCATTTTGTACTTGAAGTAGGAGTTTTTCATTAAAGATAAATGGGGATGAAAAAGCGTAAAGTTTTACAGCCGAAAGAGATGCCAAGACGTCTACGGTGTAAGGATGTACAAGCTCGCCTAGGGGTGCGTGCGGATAAACTCAAAATGGGACCACTTAACATCCTCTGGCCCATAAAAGTTTAATTTTGGTGGGTAGGGTATAAAACTCTGATGCATTAAAAAGTAAAATCGAAGGTCGCTCCTTATTTTCATATTGAGAAGTAAGAAATTTCATCGGGATAACCGAATAGATATTCAAGAACATTTATTGGTGTACCATGCTTGTTCGAATTTTGTGATGCTCGAGCAGTGACAGTAGTTGAGCCAGGTTTTCGAGAACATTTTTTGCTGATGCCAAATTCAAGCAATCTAGTTGGGTACTCGTTAATAACACTAGATCCGAGCAAGTGCCGCTTTTCACATGTGAAACCAATTAAAATAGGATGAACAGGATTTTGTCCGTTGAAGTACAATCAGAAGTTTGCGCCGCTGGTAGGTAGGTAGCTGAGTAGAAGTGGTGATTGAAAAAGCCGTAAAGCGCTCCAAGAATATAGAGATGGGGAATTAGATAAATAGATGTTTAGATGAGGAAGGCCTAAAATTGGCTTTCTCGTGATAGATGAGAAACAACTGGCAGGCTGAACTAGTCAACCGGTATAGGAAGAAGGGAATAGGGCAATCGTGAAACCAAATGTACACGAGCAGCCACATGAAAAATGCAGATTTTACAAAAATAGTCATTCTAAACTTATGAGACAATCTGTGCATTCAGCCAACAGTTCGTTTTGGGAGTAAGTTAATTGAAGGACAACCAAGAGGAGGGTCAAAGCTAAATCTACATGTTATTATAATTGACGTCGATAGTCTTAAAAAGTGAAGGTGTAGAT